TGAAAGTCAAATGGCTTTGTGTGCCATTGAGAAGGTGATTAGCTACACCTGATTGAGTTTACAAGTCATTTTTTAGGAGGGGGTGATCCTTTTTCCAACTCAGTCATTCTGGTTTTTTATTTATTAATTTTTTTCTGACATGTTGGTGTTTTATCTTTCACTTGGATGTTATAAGTTGCACTGAATAAACAACTTTCAAACATTCTACTGGGTTTCTCTTCGTCCTTTGGTTGAGGTCAGACAAATCATCAGATTGTCCAACTCATGCCAGTTTCCCTACAGAAAAAAATCCCAACATAATCCTAACAGACCATTACATCTTTAGCACTTCATTGGTTTTATAAGGCATACAGCACCGAAAAGGTCACACTATTTTAAAAAGACCTCTTCTATATATTTACAATGCTAGGGTGACACAGAATATGTCCCTTCTCCTAATTACTGACCCCATATTCCATAAATCCAGAAGACTCCATACACACACCAATGTGCCAAACATGCTGCGGTACACTTCTCTGCTGGAGAGGGCTTTAGGAACCAGGGGTCAGTTGACTAACGACAACACCAGGCGAAGGCGCTCAATAGCCATAGAAAGAACAAGAGACAGACAAACTCACTTTAACTGCTTCAGAATGGAGAGAATGAAGTAGCAATCCACCATCCCAGAACAGCTGAGGTATATATTTTAAGGAATAGATCTTTAGAAGCTTTAAGGCTTCAAATATAGATGCAAAAACACCACAAATCTATCATAAAGGTGGACTATTTCAAATCTTCTGAAGCCATACACTCTTAAAAATAAATGCTATTTATTGGAATTGATGGTTCCATTAAGCACCTTTAACATCCATGGAACCTTCACATGACTGCCCACTGCTCCGGGTGTGGGTTCACGGTATGTGTGTGTGTGTGTGTGTGTGTGTGTGTTCACTACTCACTGCTGTGTGTGTACACTTGGATGGGTTAAATGCAGAGCACAAATTCAGAGTATGGGATACCATACTTGGCTACATGTCACGTCACTTTCGATTGCACAAAAGGTTCTTTATAGTGAAAAAGGGTTATTTGGATTATTAAAATGTTCTTAACAGTAATAAAAAATGGTAAGAGTGTACGATAGATTTGTGGAAGATAGGGTCCGGAATTTAACTACAGATATAAAAATAAATAAATAAATGTGCTATGTTTCTCTTTCTTCTGCAGAACACACACAAAAAATATATCTTGAAGTCAAACAACATTGGACCCCATTGACTTTCATTGCATGGACAAAAAAAAAAAGAGCCTTTTTTGTGTTTTTGGTTTGAAATACTTCAGGGTACGTAAATTATTTTCATTTTTTGAGTGAAATGTCCTTTACTGAGTCTGATCCAATCACATATGCTAATCTACACTCTTAAAAATAAAGGTGCTTCACGATGCCTTAGAAGAACCTTTTTGTCTAAAAGGTTCCATAAAGAACCTTTAACACCTGAAGAACCTTTCTGTTTCACAAAAGGTTCTTTGTGGCGAAAAAGGGAAACGTGATCAAATGCTTGATTTCCAGCCCATTCTCCTCTCCAGGGATCAAGGGATAAATGAAGGAATGTTGTATGTAAGGAAGGATCGGTTCTCAATCTCAATCCTCAAACACATTGAAGACTGAAGACCAAAATGAGTCCTTCAACACAGGCCACAGTCTCATCAGTTGGTCTGACTGATAACTTCCAAACATACAATCAAATCTCTAGCTGTTTACACCTGACATTAATATTTGTCTTGTCTCCAGTGTTCAACCGTCCCACAGAAAAGAACTGAACAACTGAGAATAAATGGAGCAATTTGTTTCATTCCCTATGTTCATTTTACAAAAATACAGCTAGTGAATGGGATTAACTTATTAAGAATACTCACAGCCCAACACTTGGTAGGTTTTGAAGTTCTGAATCTTTATAGAAAACAGTCCAGTAACTCTCACACCTAACTTATTTACGACGCTTGGCTTGAGACAGAAAGTGGTTGATGCTCTCTGAAGCTCCAACCAAACATGACTCCCTGGGGAAGATGCTGTCATCAGCACATCATAACTGGAGATACACAGCCATAAAACACTTTCATTACGAACTGGCGTTAGCTAGAAGTCACGAACACTGTCACTCTCTCATTTCCTCTCATTCTGCTTTTCGCCATTCTGCTGCATCACTTTGATTCAGTTAAGCATGAAATACAATGTAACCATTAGGAAGTAGTGAAAGAAAATTGGAATAAACTGTGGAATATTTAAATCATGCCTAATTCAGTAGCAAAAACAGTGTTAAGGCCCATCCGCACCAAGAATGGTAACTATAAAGATAATTATAACAATAACTACGCTCTCAAAAATAAAGGTACAAATGCTGTCACTGGGGTGGTACCTTTCTATATTGGTATCTTAAAGGGACATATGAGTGTACATATTAGTACCTAAAAGGTACAAAAGGTACCACTCCAGTGACAGCTTTTGTACCTTTTTTTGTGAGATTGTATAGTAGCGTCCACACCAACGGATGATAACGTTCTGTATATAATAAATGTGCACGCAGTTTTTCAAAATGATATGTTTAAATATGCAAATGAGGCGTTATCTAATTAAATATGTGCTGATTTGCATAAATTTTTGGAAAAACAAAACAAAAAAAACTTAACATTGGATGAAGCCAGGTTCAAAATTCTTGTTTCATTTTGTTGACATATTAGACTCAAAGGTTTTTACAGAGGGGATCTCTTTTTATCACTCCTTAAATCAGAAAATACTGACAACAGCCAGAAAAAAAAAAAAA